AATTTTTTTTCTCCTAATTAGATTGTCTGGATACTTTTAGTAACCATGGAGTCTGCAATCTATTTAATGTGTTCAAGATACATCATGTTATAAGGATGTGGGTTTTCTATGAGCCTGGGCTACCTTCCCCCCTCTTGTAGCAAATTAATATACTGTGTTGGACACACATCAGCAGGTGGGCTACGGTGGAAATACATGCTTTCTGGGTTGCTAAAATACCAGCTTCTAAACAAATGGAAATCTGGCAATGCATTAGCTTCTTAGCAGCTTTAGATTAGCCATGAAAAGTGAAATTTCTCACGACCTTGCATGCACATACTGAACTGTGCTAAGGTGGTTGTGTACAGTACATGATGCGAACTCTCCTCTTAAAGAACTGCTTTACTTCAAGTCAGCAAATCAGTTGTTCTCTTGGATAAATTAAATTTCAGTTAATTACATTCTTAACGAACTGCTTATTTATTAAGCTGCTTAAAATTGGTTAGTTTATTGTAAGCCCAAGCAAATTGCCATTTTACTGTGTAAGTTTACATAAAAGAATAGAGGATGCCGAAAATTCACTTATGAAGCTTCTGTATGCTCTTTAATGCCCTAACCGAGCCAGTATTGCAGGAATGTTCTGTCCTTTGATAGGGAACACTCCCTAGAATTGCTTCATCACTTGAAACCAGAGCTCAGGCAAGAGACGTACAACTTAGTCCTTCCACAGACCTCAGCTGTACGTGGAGTTTCATTGCACAAGTTCTGTCCCAACAGTTGCAGCAGCAGCAAGTGCTTTGGATTGTTAGTTCAAGTGTCTAAATATTATGTGCTTAGCAGAAGACACTGAAAAATTGTAAGCAGAAACCTTCTTCATATGCAAAGATTAATCTGATTTGAATCCAATTTAAATAATCCACTTGCATATATAGAAAGATTTTAGCGTAAGTGGCCATGGCACTGTCCATGACATGGATATGCACACACAGTAGTACCTTGCTTAAATTAACCTGCTATTTAAACTGTTGTTCTCAAAATTATTTTTTTTTTGGTTGAATCTCAACCTTTTGTCTTTACTCCTGTTTCTTTTGGGGCTGTGTTTTACTTTGGAGCTTGAAGTCAGTCCTTTATTTGTTCCATACTAACTTTAGCTATAATTTTTTTTCATTGCAAAAGTTTGCAACCAACATAGCTGAATTTTTATCAGTTTTGTCCTTTTATATATCAGTATTTGCTGGGAAATCAGGTAATTATGATTTATAACCTCATAAGCAATAGCCAGCCATCTCACTATTTTGCTATTAGGTTTTCAAAATATGTAACAAGAATGGCAATACCTTGTCAGGAGAGATCAGGTTGCCTGTGTTCTTGGTGCATGTATTTCTGGAAGAAAGGAGTAGTAAAGATGATGTGGATACAGTTTGGGGCCAATTATATGATAAAGCAAGTGCGTCGCAGTAAGACCAGTAATTGCAGGGTCTGTCTGTGCTTAACAGCTGCATCCTTTCTGTATGTTCATATGCTGATAGAAGTTTGAATGTGGGTTCTGTACACGTGATTGACCAAACAGCAGTTACATGTAATAGCCCTGGCAGATCTTAGAAGAGGGGGTATTGTTGAGAGTGTGTGATGGTGAAGGCGTTTTAACGTAATCCCTACATACTTACATAGCTTCTCTGCTGGCATACGGTGAAAGAGTAGCTTTAAATGTGGTTTGCAGAAAATAGTCTGTCTTTTGTCACCTTCCTCTCTATTACTGTCATGGCTGATGTATTTCCATTTTGTAGAAGTATTTCACGATTTCAGTTATTAGTTGTAAAACTGTATTCTGTAGTTGCAAAAGCTTCTCAGTTTCATGGAAGAAACTTGTCTACTAGAAGATGGCTGTTCAGGCTCCTATGTGTTGTATGTGGGACGTGGAATATAATGCTTCATTGCCTAACCTGAAAGTTCAAAACGTGGTTTCCTAAGTCCGTGAAGAACACATTGATGCATGACTGATGTCCAGCATGGTGTGAGTATGAGCTCCACACCAGGAAGCACCAGATTGCGGAAGAGCATGTGAGAAATATCTTTGTGTGTTCTATTTGTTTCTTCCTTCCTTAAGGAGGCTGAGAAGGCATTGCCCTTCAGGTCTATGAGCTAGATAAACTGTTGTTATGACCCTATATAGCTGGTCCTGTTTCCTTGGTGAACTCATAATGAGAACTAAAATTGCCTTCTTTCTTGAATTTGACCTTTTATGACCGTGTATATACATTGAGGAAGATCTGACTCGCTGTCTGTGACTCTTCAGTGTTTTTGTTTGCTTGAAGATCATCTGTGTTACAGTGAGAACCTTGCTGGGTGCGCAGGTTGGGTCTGTCGAAGGACACGGTGAATTGTTGCTTGGTATTAAAGAATTTTGAGGATCCCTGAGAGCAGATTTTCTCCTTGCTCACTCTTACAAATTTGTTTCTCTGTTTCAAACCCAGAAGTTTTCTGTCTAGTTTAAAGCAGTGATGAGAAAGGAATAAATACTGTCAGTTTTGATCAGCAAATAAGACAAAAATAGGGGAGAGAATAAGAGGCAAAGGTGAGATTTGCCTTTTTCTTCCCTTAAAGCATGATAGTTTCTGACCTTTAGCAAGTCTTTTTTTCTTTCTGCTGCAAAACTGTGGGTGTTGAGTTAGACCGAGCTCGCTCCCAAATGTTTTTGTGAGGACTGCAATACTTGTTTGGAAGCTAAACAGTCCTACTTTGTGCACTGGTGTTTGTATTCATGGGAAGGGACACTCAGATAACCCTCACTGTCTGGGTTGATTTGTCATTTATTCCAATCCTTGTAAAATATGGCTGTCAAAGGGTTGTTCTGTGATATGGATAAATTGTTTTTATTCAGATCGCATGCTTTTCTGAAACCTTCTTTGATTCAGCTCAAAGGCAAAAACCACTCTGAAGTCTTGGCTATAGTTATTGGTTGTGTAGCTGCACTAATGAAGATGCTGATCTTTATGCCATTATGGCTAGTAAGGTGATTGGCTTTTAGATGGTGTCTATGTGACAAAATACTGTTTGTGACATGTTATGTTGTTGGCTCAGATCACTGCTATGAAGGCTCAGTTCCTGTTCTTCTCTGTTAAAGGTTTTCTTCTGCTTTTTATTTTTGAATCTTGTAGAAGAAGTAGCAGAAGCAGCCTCTTCATGAAGAGTTGTCAGACGTGTACTTTCTTGTTAGGCTTTGCTTTGGAGTTTTAATGTTTGCAACTCAATCTTTCATTATTTTATCATTAAGAGAAAGTCATGAGTTTAGCTTGCAGCTGGTGGTTTATCTGGTATCTTTACCCTTTCTCAGTTTGTTATGTTTAGCAAAACAAAAATAAACTTGCTGTAATTCTACACGAATACAGCGTTGCAGTTCTGAAGCCAAAGTGACTGAGTAGCTCAAAAAGCTGTCTGTAAGGAAACAAGTACTTTTTAATCTGAAAATGCTGGTTAAGTCAAAACTGAAACATTTTGCAAGGATGAATTATCAAAAAGATTTATTTATTTATTTATTTATTTTTTATGTCTGAGATGTGTGGTTATGCTGAAAGAGCTGAAGACATGCTCTAGAAAAAATACCTCAGGGATTTTTAGGGCAGTCACTCAGGAGGTTGGCTGCAGGTGGTGAGAAGGTCAAACTGCAAAGTCCCAGCCCTTCCTGATAGAGGCAGCTTGGATCTTGGTCTTCCACTTTCCCACCAGGGCCTAAGTATCTCAGCTATCAATTATTTAGGAGGGGATTGATCTTTTACTTGTTACCCCTATGCATTTGTGTATGTTGGAGCAGAGGTATCTCCTGTGATCTAGGCAAGCTATCTAATCACTGCTAGGATGTTTGCTGTCCTCTGCTAAATTCTTTTTTTATCATGATATACACCACCCCCCACCCCCAAATAGGAAGCAAACATTTAAATGGTTTTGAAGCCTTATTCGCAGAATAAGGGAAAATCAATCATTTTATATTCAGTTTTGAGAATACCTTCTTTATTTCGCTACTTTAAGGTATTTGAATTTTCTATCACAATATATTGTCTACTTAATTTATGAAACTTTGTTTTTTTACACCCTTGTCAATGGATGTAGAAATACTTTGCTGACTGTGTAATTAAGTGAATCACAGGCCCTGATCCTGTGAGGTACTTAAAGTACTAGTATCGTTGTATAGGGCTGATAGCATCAGATGTGCACAGAAGTACTTTGCTGGACTGGGGTTGCGTGATAATTGTTAGAATCTTAGTTTTGAAAAGTGAAAGTCACATTTCAATGCTTACATTTTATTTATCAGCACGTAACGCAGGGTTTAGACGTGTGTTGGCCACAGTTCCTTATTTGGAGAATAAGAATTGCTTGCACTTCCAAACTAGAGATGTAAATGCAGTCAAATTGAACTAGACCAAAGATTCAGTAGTTTGACAAACGTTTATCTATTCATGTTGTAATTTAAAAAAAGAAAAGCAGCGCTAATGTTTTTGTTGTTGCTACATATTCTCGTGTCTAATGATTTTACGTTGAATGCACAGGCTTTGCGGAGTAATGCATCAAAGTTTCTCTGTATTTGCTGTTTTCTTCCTGCTTTTTCTCTATAAAGCTTTTGGTGTAAGCATTTCTTTTTTGCTGTTTTGCACTGAAATTAATTACTTAATTGCCTCTAATATTGGAAGTCTAGTAACCATGATGCTGAGCAATTACAGTGCTTTTTGAAGTGAAAATGCTGTTCTGAATCCTAAAAAAACCAAACCACTCACAAAACAACCTTAAAATAGAGAGGGAGTGGACAATGGGCAGACAGTAAAAGAACAAGTATTTTGGAATAAGGTTGTGTTGTAATTTGTAAGACATTGTTTTGTTACTGGATACTATGAATTCAGTACTCGTTTTTCTTTTGTCTGTAATGGAGTTTTATAACAATGGACTTGCTGTGTGTTGACCTTTCTTTGAAGTATGATATTCCTGTATTTGCATTTTTTGATCTTTTTCAATTTTATTTTTGTTTTGCCTAAAGACCCTGTGCGGACAGTAATGACAGCACGTTTCCGATTGCCTGCTGGCAGAACCTACAATGTACGAGCATCTGAGCTGGCACGAGACAGGCAGCATACGGAGGTGGTCTGCAACATTCTTCTCCTGGATAACACTGTACAAGCTTTCAGAGTTAATGTAAGTAATTTGCTTATTGCAAATCAGTATCACTGAGCTTGCTTTTCTTTGCTGGATTTGTATGGCTAGAGTTTGCCTTTCAAACTAGTGTTAAGTACACAGAATAGAAGGGGAAGTTCTGTTCAGGCAGGCATGCTTGGACATGTACCTACTAAGTCACTGTGAATTTAGTCATTCTGGCATCCTCTATAGTACTAAGCCATCTTCATTTTAAAATTGAATATACAAAGCATAATTTATTTCTAGTAATTCTCTTTGTGGACTGAAGTTGTATAGTGGAAATGGAGGGCAGTTTTGCCACTGAACTGAATAAGGAGTAAGCGCTTGTTTTGCTCCATTCTGGTTTTTGCATTTTGAGTGTAATGGTAATTCTTCTCATAACTGTGTAGCTAACTGTGTTCTATCATGTGTATGGTTATATTTGGTTACAGCTGTCATCTTAAAGTATCTCTTTGCTTTTCGCTTTTCTCAGATTATATTCTTGTTCTATGATTTCCCTTGCTTAAACTCAGCACCTTCTAATGCACTAATGAGGATGGCAGGAAAGAGAGTAGGAATCTGGCTGCTGAATGCAGAGGACTGTTACCGGGAAATGTGACTAGCCTGGAATTTAAAATAGGTTATTCGTCAGATTTTCTAATCTGTAATCCTTGATAAGGAGTTAAAATGTAAATGCTCATGATTTTGTGTATATACTCACACAAGTGCAACCATTTCATTTGGCTTCTTGGGGAAAAAAAACTTACAAACAACAGGCAAGGACCTGACAAGAAAATGTTAAAGCATTTAAAGTGATCTTTGTGGGAGAAGAACTGGAACTCAACAGGAAAGAAGCTGTGAGGTGTCCTGGGGCAGGAGAACTCAGCTTTTACTTTATAAGCTATAGAATTGATTATTTGTGTGGAGAAAGGTTGAATAACGTGATGATGAAAGTTACAGGTGGCATGATATTGACATTTTTCAAGAGAAAATTGAACTTCAGTGAATTGAGTGAAGGAGTACCTCAATATCAAGGCTGTGGGATTTCAGATGGGAAGTGAGGGAGAAACTGAAGCAGTTCTCAAATCCATGTGAACAAGTTTAATTTGGACCATTTGAAAAAGTTCTAATGCTCAGTAGTTCTATTGCATTCTGATAGCCAGTGTTCAGTGAGGATATTGATACATTTTAATCTTTTGGGCAATATTTGTGCGAGTAATTGCATTTCTCTATTCTCTAATCAGGTGGTTAGAGCCTGTGCAGCCTGCATCTGCCTATCAGAGAGCAAAGTCTGTTATCTAGCAAAACTTGCAAGGATCCAGCATTGAGTGGCTTAAGGCTTAGAGGTAGACTTAGTGGTTATTTGGTTTAGATACTTCAATCGAGATAGAAGGTTGTAGGATGTTATCTTAAGGAATTCTTGTAGCTCATTCAGGAGATATTTAACTTTTTGTGACTTCTGAGTCGTTAAGGGTGATAATTTTGGATGATGGAGCTGGGGGAGGGATGACCAAAGACTTTAATTTATCAATGTCAAGCCTCGTTTCCTTTCTGGGATCATTTCTTCTATATCCCCTTTTCTCTACAATATTCCACTGCTCTTCTGTATCTCTTACCTTCTCATCCTCGCTAGCAGTTTCTTGGTCTATACTGCCTGCCAAAAAGCAGTATGTGCAGAAGGTAGTTGGAGGCAAAACATTAAAAGTGCATGAGAAATTATTGTGTTATTTGCTTTGAGGTGCATGAGTTTTCCATTAAAATATCTGTTTGCAGTTTTTTGTTTGTTCATAAGAGTTGGCTAAAATAAGGAATAATTGTTTTACAATAGGTATGGGAGATTATGCTGCTTTTTGATCTAGGTGTTCTCAAAAGCTGTATGTTCTTAGAGGATGGTGATGCCTGTCTAGAGTAGAATCACCAGTTATAAATCCTCAAACATCTATTCTGTCTCTCCCAAGAAAAATTTATGTAATATGTTCTCACCGCCTCCCTAGTGTACTAAATATTTTAGTTGCATGGATCACGCTTTACTGCTTATACAGATCAGCCTGCAAGTTTGACTATTAAAATTGAGTTTAAGGAATAAAAAGTTCCTTGGTGCTCAACATTTTGATCTCGGGTCTCAGCCTCAATCTGTTTTTTTGTGTTTTTGGTTTTTGTTTTGGGTTTGTTTTTTTTTTTTTTTTTGTTGGTGTTGTTTTTATTTTTGGATATTTTTTTTTTCCAAAAATAGGGAGTAATAAAGTATTCAGTCATAGCAAATGTATGCTAACCTACACAGTATTCAGGTTTTCAGGGTTTATAGCTGTGTTTTACTTTATTGTGGTTGGCACAATACTTGGCAATAAATATTTATGGAATTGTTTTCAAGACAGGAAGAACAAAGATAACATCAAATAAATTAGCAAGTTTTTTTTCTCCTGGTGATTGCTATAGGTATTCTGTATGCTAATGATTGTAAAGCTTAATCATCTGGAGTATGCAGCACTACATTAATAAAAAGTACTCAAATGGTATTTCTTCTCCAACAGCAAAGTGCTGATCACAGGCAACGTCTCTTGATAATTTATGTGACATGTTCTAAGTTCACAGTTCAACCAGGCTTTTCCATTGATCTGCAAAACAGGCATTCTTTGTGCTAAGCCTTACCTCGTATAGAGCGTATCAAATCAAATCAAATAATCCCTGTGGATTGTAGCCAGACAAAGGTTGTTCTGGTTGCGGGCAGAAGAATCAGTTGGAACTAACCTGTGCATATGTCTGAAGAGTAGAAATCCTTTCTATAAAATTCTGTGCTTACCAACTGAAGAACTGCTCCTTTGGTGCTGAAAAGCATACTTCATAGAACGCGTAGCTGGAAGAAGTGAGGCTGACTTGAGTTAATAACATGATCAGGATGATTTGCAGTATCGTAAGCCTGCTTCTACAAGATCAAATTACTTTAAGTGGTTTTAATTAATTGTTTAAATACCTCAAATCGTATCTTTTTCTGACTTAGTTGTATTCCCTGAAAGCCAGTACATAGATATGGAGATCACACTAAACTTGAGGGAAAACTGAGTCAAAGTATTTGGGATGAGTCGTTCTGTGAGCAAGGCTAGTGCGTTAGCAGTCACGGACAAATGTTTCAGTTATGATCTTTTATTGTCTCAGAATTCTCCTCAAACTGGATGAATTTACACTAATCGAAGTAAAATCTAAAAATATGTAAAATAACCTAAAATAAAAAAACCCACGCCAACTCCCCTGTAAGTCTAGAAGTGAAAATTTTCAGTAATTTAGTCTTCATCATTACTTAGTTGCTTCCATTTTTTTCTTTGACCAAAAAAATAATAGCTTGCTTGGAAACTTTTTAGAGCAAAGTAACTTTTTGCAGAGTTAACATAAGCTGTAGAGTGAAAGAGACAGCAGTGCAGTGCTGGCTGTTGGCGCTGCACTTGCCTGAGTAACAAAACAAGTACTGCGGAGAGATTCCAGTGTTGTCAGTGAAGGAGCAGCACAGCCTCCCACAGACCTGTGAGCAGCAGAGCCATCTGACCCCCTCCAGGAGAACCTGGGACCTGTCGTCCTGTTCCTCTGCCATCAGAAGTCCAAACGAGTTTAGACTGACACAGCACCAATATCTCCTGGTGCATGCGTAGATGTGACCAGTTCTGTAGGCCAGCAGCAAAACCAGAATGTCGGTAGTATAAATTGGGAAGATGGTGGTAGTTGGTAAGCAGGCATTAAACCTATGTAACTGCAGATGTTTTCCTAAATTTTCAAACATGGGTGTTTGTAAACAGCTAACAATCATTTCGTGATTAGAAATTGATGTGTATATATCTAGTGGTACTAGATGATAGATGCTTCACAAAGTGCAGCTAATACATTGTTGTTTAGTGTTGATGTCAAATTTGTTGTGAAAGGCCAAAATTTGTTAGACATTTTGCCTCCAGCAAATACTCATAGGTAGTACGCGTAACATTCTAATATTCCGGTCCAGGAAAAATGTTGATATGTTTTGTATCTAACTGCTGCAGTTTTGTGTTAGTTTCTATTTTTCATGTTTTTACGTTATTCCCTATTTTAAGAGGAAATATGAATCTTTAACTTTATCTGTAGGAATAAAGCAAGTTTCTTTCTATGCTAATCCACATTTATGGTTTTTTTTGCCTTTTTTTATTAAAAAACACCCCCAAAAGGAGAAACTTCTTAACATACTTTTTATAATTTATAGCAGCTACTCAGTGATTATGATAGTATTACAAATATTCTGGACCTTTCACAACAGGCAGGATTGTGACCTTCACCTGCTCTGGCAAGCCGCAACGTCATTGTATAAATAGCAGAGATAAACCAGACCTCAGTCTAACCTTACTAGATGCATATCTTTATTTTGCACTGAGAGTAAAACGTTGTGATCAAAACAAATATTTCATGTTGAAACTAGTCTTCTCTTACAAATTTGCTGTTATGTTGCAGGAGAAATACCTTCCTTGTGGTCGTGAAATGACTTTCTGTATTATTAAATTAAAACTGATCAGCAAGTTCAAAGCTCTTCTGTTAGGAAACATCTATTCAGATATCTAAGAAACAGTATAAGTTCTCACATTTAGGTTGGAAAAAAGCTGCAGAATTGTTATCTGCATGTTATTTGGGGAAGTAACATGTCAGCTGTCATAAATGTAAACCTAAACTTGGGTTCCAAATGTCTTCCATTTTCTGATAGTTACTGTTACAAGTTCTTAGTTTTGTGTTCTGATTTAAATCTACGTGGGGAAAAATGCCAAGAAGCAATTAGTGTTGCTGTATAATTTTAAAGTTAGTTTTATTTGTTGAAAAAATTGTACTGATTGCTGGTTTATTTCAAAATATATGGGAAACTCCTAATTAGTAAAAATGCAAGTGCCTGGTTTTGGGTTGTATATAGAAATTGCCTTATGCATATATACTGTTGTGTATTTATTATGTTAACATCTGTTTTTTTCTTTGCTTGTTTTTAGTTATTGGAAAGTAAATTTTTCAGTAGTGAACTTTTTAACAGTAGTTCAGTAGTGAACATTTTTAACTAATGGTGCTCCTACTGGCCGTTCATTTCGTTAAGCATCAAGAAATTTTCTTTGCATGATTTTTTTTTTTTTAAATAAGATCTTCTTTGAAAGTAAATATAGCAACTCTTAGATCACTTTAACTTAGCCAAATTTATATGGGACCTGAAATATATTCCTTATGTAATTTTGACTCAAATGCTCAGAGCTATGGTTGTGACTGTTCTGCTGAGATCATTTCAAGCATCATTTGTTGAAACCAATTTTCTATTTTTTTTATTATTATGAAATAAATTATCAGGCTTTGTGGAGTTCTTAGCTCCCAATAAATGGTTTTGACAGTTTACTCAACTTCACTGTAACTTCAGCTGAACAAAAAATGAGTTTTTATTGGATGCTCTGAGATGTTAACAAATGTCTGAATGTGATTTGTAGCTTTTTCTCCTGTATGGATATTAATGAAATTCTTGCGACTTTGTTTTGGTCTTTTAGTGTTACATACTTCTGTTTTAATGGCTGTAAAAGTAAACTGTTGTATAATCTCTATGAGAAATGAGGTCATTTGGGAGCAGAACAAGAGTTTTTTTGTTTTAAAACTTTAAAAGTATCTTAATGCCTAAGTAAGTAAACAAGGCAAAATGTATCAAATTCACTGTAGCATCAATAATACTTGGCACCTGGAAGATTATCAGAAGCTTGCTTGGTGCCAGAGAAGTAGAAAATCTGGGTGGAAAATGTGTCAATCATCTCTTTCATATTTTTTTTTTGTTGTTTGACAGTTGTTCTTGCAGAATTTTTCCTCTTCTTTTGTACTTGAAGAAGCTATGACATTTAACTTCCTTGGGAAACTCCCTTCAGATTTCACAAAATGTATTTATTGAGTCCTGTCATAATGGCACACTCAATGTTTCCGTTACTATGTTGGCAGTATTTTCAGGTTGGGCAAAAAATTGCTAGGTACCAGCAGCTACAGATTCTTTTTATATCATTTTGAGGGTAAGATCTGTCCCTGTAGTAGAAATCAAATTTGTTCACTTGTCTCTGAAAAGCAATTTTACTGTTATTCAGTTCATTTGAATTAGTTCATTTAGAGTGAAATAGATAGAGAGAATTCTCTCATCTTTGAGAGAATGCATTTAACTGACACTTCTCTGTCAGGTATTTGGCTGCTTCAGCTGTCTATGCCATTTTACTGTGTGAACATTTTCAATATGCTGGTTCATTTAGATTCAGGTTTAGATTTTCAGATAAAATAAGTTAAGAATAACTTGTACAGACCAATGCTTTTAAATTCAGTGACCCAAACAAGGCTACAAAGTTCTTTTGTCAAATCCTCCCTTTCGCCCCTTTCGCCCCTTTCGCCCCTTTCGCCCCTTTTTGCTCCAATCCTCCCTTTCGCCCCTTTCGCCCCTTTCGCCCCTTTCGCCCCTTTCGCCCCTTTCGCCCCTTTCGCCCCTTTCGCCCCTTTCGCCCCTTTCGCCCCTCCTTTTAAATATCAAATTTGGCTAATGAATAGGTTTCAGGAATAATTGTGTAGCTAGCTGAGAAGTGAGACATTCTTACTGTCAGAAGATGACAAAGAGGAAAAATAATAATTCCTTACATGTGTTCAAAGACAGATGAAGCTCATTTAAAAATAGTGTTCCTAAGTATCTTTGTGATACTTAAAATTTAGTGTGCTAGAGCACATCTGAAATAATGTGTATGTGCTCTGCCTGCCTGAAGTCTGTGTGTCCAATTATATATTGTTCATTAAAGAATACATATATTTGTTCTCTGCAGAAACATGATCAGGGACAAGTTCTATTGGATGTAGTCTTCAAGCATCTCGATTTGACAGAGAGAGATTACTTTGGTTTACAGTTGGCTGATGAATCTACTGACAACCCTGTAAGTTGACTCTTTTATAAATATGATTTTATAAATCGTAATCATGTTCGTCATTGTAAAAAGAAGCAAATAGAAGCCATTGCAATATTGTGGCATCTTCTCCAACTGCATCATTTGAATGGGTTTAGTATCGCCTTGTAGTTACGATGAAACTGAATGTTAATAGTTACAAGTGTGTAGTAAAACATTGAGATCTGTGCTTATGAAATAACACCTTAAAAGGGTATTGCTTGTTTTATTATATCTGTTTACTAGACTGCATGATCCTTGTCAGCTGGGATAAGAAGTAGTAACTCTTTTTTTTTAAATCTGGATTTTCTTCATTAGGACTAAAAGTTCATGTGCTTGAATTGAAAGGAAATTCCGTAGGACTGAAGCTTGGTAAATGGCTAGTAGAAACTAAGAGATCCAGCTTTAATGTTCAATGGCTGTAATAGTTACAGCTGTACTGCTGAGATCAGGATAGCTTGAAAAATGCTTCTTGAATACTTTCTTTGATAGGTCTCAAATGTTCCATACTTGTTTTAAAGTGTGGTTTAACTAAGTATTATGTCTTATAGTACCGTTCTTTACCTAATTCCCATTATATGAGTGTCACAGGGATCGGGTCTAAATTTATTTCCCAACTTGTGTGTCAAAAGTCATTTTTGTTCACAAAATGTGCAGAGTGTGATCTAGAGAGATAAGTGACACTGTAAAGTGTTAATTGTTCAGTAACTAAGGTGAATTTCAGAAGAAAGTGCAACATTCTTTAAGTGCAGTTTTCATCTACTGTTGTTTTACCATCAACAGTGACTGTTCTAAATAGAAGGAATACTTTTCTTTTATTTTACTAAAAGGTTGGGTTTTTTGTTTTTAGTTATTTTTAATGTCTTTTTTCTTTTTAATGTAGAAGAGGAAGAAAGAAGTCACAATACAGCCATAATTTTTCTTCTGCCTGAATAGTGAACTACTTCCATTTTTCTTCTCCAGAGCAAATTATTCTTTTTCTAATTCTGGTTACATTAAGATTATTAATATGACTAAAACTATATCACACAGTTGTAGATATTTAGCAAAGTTTTCTTTTGTAACTTTGTGGATAGTCCTGTTAAGACATCAGCAGGCTGGCCTTACTTAATCTTTTTATTCCAAACTTTGTTTCCAGACTGAAAAGACAGAGGGATGCTGTAGAAAAGGCTGAATTATTTTAAAGACGTATTTAATTGAATATCACTCAGTATTTTACTCAACAGTCAGAAATTTGTACTGTTCCTCCTTCTCATTTATTTGGCTTTCCAAAGCTTAGACCTCTAAGCTCTCTCTTTTTTTAGTTTATCTGTCTGGAAGCAGCTGAACTCAACACTGTAATAGAAGGATCTGGTTAAGAGTTAGTCTGAAAGAAGAATGACTTCACAGCTATTTGATATAAACACATGCTTTAAAGGTTTAGTATTCATTGACTTCTAAATATTTGGCTTTTCAGCACATATCTAGTTGCCATGAAAACGTGTCAGAGCTGAATAGAAATGTTACCAATATTAGTCATGTAAGCTTGAAGAATTTATGGGTTTGACTAATTTCAGTTTTTGATATCAGTTTACTTTTACACTCAGTTCATTTGGACAAAGAAAACAGATTGGATTGACAAATACTCTAGTTGTGAAATAACACATCAGGATATTACTAAGATAGAATCAAAATGGCAGGAGATAAAGGGGATGGGGAAAAGGGGATTCTGCTAATTGAGCGCGAAACCCCTATCATTGTGCCTAAACATGGATTTCATAAGCTGCACAAGCTTTATGTTTTTGTATAATATTAATGTTGTGGTAAAAGTCAATGCAAGAAAGTGCTAATGCTGTGTACAGCTGTAGTGGTGTATTTGGCCAGGGTCTGGGGCTGTGGGTGCCTAGAGCTATGCTGAGAAGGGGATATTGGCACACAGTGGGAATGAGGGTGCAGCGAATACTGTCAGTGTGGGTGCTGGAGCGCCTTTGGCAGGAGAAAGTGAGGCGGGGATCACTGCTGGGGGAGGCGAGAGAGTACAGAAATTACTCTCCAAGGGACTGGGATACAAACTTCATGGATCCCCAAATCTACCTGCCTCTCAGACTTACTGGGATTTAAATGTACTTTTGCCTAAGCCTGTCAACTTCAGCTTCTTTACAATATTAAGTGCTTTAACCCTCTGCAGTTTCCCAGACAGAAAATCACCTTTTGCATTTGGATCCAGTGATATCAGTTGAAAGCATGAATATGGCCTGTTAAACATGGTTCAAAACAAAGTTACTCCTCTGTGGTTTCAGCTATGCAAGTACATACCAAATTGATCTTTACAACCAGGAGGAAATGTAAATGCAAGCTTTTCTGCCAGGCATTTCAATTCCAAGTTTTCTGGATTATCTGCAATCTCAAACAGTACTTCCCACCAAAAAAAAAAAAAAACAAACAAACCGAGGATTACCAGTCGGATCTGTGCATTTATCAGATACTTAAGTATCTTTCACCATGTCTCAAAAGATTCTTATATAAAATTCATGTGAATCCCTGGCTGGAGAGTCCTTTCTTAAGCCTTTACATTTAGTCTTACAAGTTAATAGATCCCGTGTGAGGTATTTTTGACATAATTACACTCTTTGAGCTGTATCAAACAGTTTCTTTAGTTGCTCTTAAGTCATCTACTACAAGGATACAGTATTTGGATGTAGTCATCATTAGTTGTTATTCCCACTGAATAAAATTACTCAGAACTAACTTCAGATCTGTAGTGTGTGTCAGATAGCTCAGGTGCCTTTGTGTGTCTGCTTTCTCCTCCCCAAATGAAAAAAAAATAAGCCCAGTGATAAAAGGTGAGGTAGTTGCATGCCATATGGAATTAGGTCTCTGTCACATCATAGGAACTGTGGCCATATAACAGTTTCCTGAGGCTTGTGAGCTTGCATTGCAAGGCAGGATGAGGAATTGAAGCGTGTTTATAACACAGATAGACTTAGGAGTTAACTGAACTACGCTGGTATGTGCAAAGTCTGCTGGGTTGCTAATGGGGAGTGGTTTAAACAGCTTGTAGGGCTTTCCAGAGAACCGTATTTCTATCTGAGATTTGCAGTGTGGATTTTTATGAAGATCTGTCTGTGTTTCTCCACAGCAGCCTTCTCCCATAGACATGCTTGAGATTGGGTGCTGTTTGGTAAAACTGTTCTGTAGTCCTTAATCCTATAGGCTGAGTGCTGAGCCTCTGGTTTCCAAGATCCCACTTAGCAAGTTAGGAGAGATGACGCTCAGGCTGACAATTTGAAGAGAATCTGGGAGCCAGTGGGATCACTCCCTGGATGTGTCCAACCTGCAAAATGCAGTGTCAGAATTACTGGAACTGGTTTAAACAAATTAATTTCTGAGTTGGGTAAATTAGCCTGCTTATAGCTCTTCACTGCCACAGTTAGTTCACCTAACCTAATCAGTGTAAAGAGTAGCTGAAGATAGTTAAACACACGATAGTTGAGTTCTAACCTCTCTCGGGCTCGTGTAACAACCAGAGAACCAAGTCATAGTTGAGTTAGCACTGTTGGAGACTGCTATCTTGACAACAGAGGTTAATCTCAGGGAAGGAATAACAACTGTTGATGTCTTTCCAGAATCAGTAACAAGACTTTGTATGCCAGTAAGGCATTTTGGTGAAAGTCCAAGTAAAAAGTAATAGAAAAGCAACAGTCTCTTGATGTATAGGGCTGTAATTTGTACTTTTTTGTTTCTCTAAAGTTGGTGTTATAATTTGTTTCTTTCCAGAGGTGGTTGGATCCAAACAAACCTATCAGGAAACAATTAAAAAGTGAGTACATGTATGTATTTGGTCAATTCATATATCATTATTATGCTGTTTTTCCAGGGTAGCCTGATTAATTAGAAATAACTTTTCTTGGCCGTAGGAGGGTCTCCTCACAGTTTGAACTTCAGAGTTAAGTTTTTTGTAAGTGACCCAAACAAGCTCCAAGAAGAATACACAAGGTAAGTCTAGTTAGTTTATCAATAAAACATCTCGCTAGAAGGTTTATGTTTAAGGGGAAAATGATCATTAATTTTTTTTTTTAGGATATAACATGGAAATTTTCTTTTAAATCCTTTTTGTGTTGTATGTGCGAGCTTCTAATTTTTGCCTAATAATTACAGATGTGAACTATGCTGTTGCACCAAATCAATATAACAAAAAGCCTCTGTGAATAAATTTACAAATTTAATGCAAAGTGAAGTAACTACATGAAGAAAATACTACCAAGTAGGAACAGAAAAGGGAAAATAGAGAAGAGAGGAAAAACTTAATCCCACTGTTCACCAATGAGTACAAATTTAATTTTATCCTTACTTGTGTTCTCCTTTGTGATTAAAAAAAAATCCCTGAGCTTTCTGCATTTTTTTTCTTGACACCCCGCCCCCCCCTCATTTTTTTGCTTGGCACTAATAAAATTAATATCTGTTTGTATGGTTGTAGTCCTAGCTTGAAGCATGTAAGCTTATTTTGATAGCAATGTGTTGAAATCTGTTGAAGAAAATGCTTAGTGTGAATCAGGATTGGAGGCTTGTGAGTTGCAATTAGTCCCTGAAGAAATGCCTCAATTTTCAGTATTCTTAATTAGTTGTGGTCCTCTACATAAGTGGCATGATTTGACAGATTGGAATGTTTGGATGTCAGCCACTCTGAAAACAGGTCAGCCCCGTTCAAAAAAAAAAAAATTAAATTATTAAGGATAGCTTTAAAAATGCAAGTAGCAAAACTGTGAAAACTTGAATCCGCATTTATTTATATTTCTTTTGATTTGTCATATTTTGGACAAAATTTTACACACATCTATGCAGACAGAATTTAACAAAAATGAGTCCCAGAGATTCTGGAACGGGCTTTGTTTTACTGAAATATTTACTCTAGGAAAATTTGGCAATTTACTACATCAGAATAATGAAAAATGTGTTACTTGAATTAAAAGACAATATGTAATACTCCTAAGGGGATCGAAAAAAACAGTAAATGTTGATCAAGATGAAGTAAACAATAAAGAAAAGAGAGAACTGTTTACTTTTAAATGTTATGCTGTAAATACAAAGCTATAAATACAGCATCCTTTTAGAGGAGAAATAATGTATGGTTGCTGTATCTAGGTCAGCTCTGCCTTTTTTGCTAATAGGCCTAATTGCCCCTGAGAAAACTCATTTGTATTTGGAATTATTATAAAGAGAGAGTTGTTATCTGTGGGGTATTTTGGAGTGAGGTTAGGATGCCGTGTCACAAATATGGGGTTCTTTTCTGTATCAGTATTTCCCCCCTTAAAAGAAAAGAAAAGAAACAGAGCACATGCTTCTGAATTCCAGCTGAAGCTGAGACTTTTCAAAGATGCTCGTTTTTTTATGAATTTAATGAAAATGAATGAATTAGTCGACATATGAGGCAGTATGAGTAGACATCAGGGAAAGGCTCTGTGCAAGCTCCTGTCTTATTAGATCTCTGCAAATTCATGTAAGGGAGACGGGTTATGAATGTCCCAGGTCAGGAAGGGTCAGTGGGAGCTCACCTTGTGTTGGACAGTTTAGCTTTAGGAACTTGTCTTAGTAGGAAATGAAACTTCGTTAGTTCTGCCCATGGCAGAAAGACTTGCTTATTAACGTTGACTCCAGTTAGCAATAATTCTGTCTTACCCTTTTCTAGATACATCTATGTATCTAGAAGATGAAAATGTTGTAATGCAATGGTACCTTCATTGTCTTAGCTGAATTTGTTGTGCAGGCTTTTTCAGATCTACTTTGCTAAAGCTTCAGTTGATTTCCTGTTTTGCTCCACAATATGTGGGGCTTCAGTGTCCAAACCGGGAAGTTAGCTAACAAGCCGTTAAGTTCACTGTTTGCTGGAAACAGTGGACAGAACCCTGCTTAGTGTTCCTTAGTCATGTGGTCCCTTAAGTACCATGGAATATTTCTAATGAAGCGTTATACCAAAAAAAGTAAAATAAAATGAAGATGCAGCTGCACATACAGAATGTTTTTGTCTTACATTTTTACAGCCATAAATGTTAACAGGAAAAATAGGAAAAACTGATTTGTTCAGTGTGTTTGTGAAGAGATGCTCAAGCTGAGCATGCGAAGCATATCCTTCTAAGATACGAATTTTAGCTTGCCATTTATTGCTTTTTTAATATGTAAAGAAATACTGCTTTATCTGTCTCTTTTTTGGTTTCTATATACATTTTAAGGTGGAAAATGAAGTATTTTGAGGTCTCTAAAGCCTGGGTAATGTCTCAGTTTTAGCTTCTTGAGGTTAATACCTTAACTAAGCTTTTTGCCATTCTGGTCAGTTAAAGAACCTCTAGGCGGTTTTGCGGGAGTTGAGCACGTGGGCTAGCATCTTTGCTTGTTGGTTTGCAAGTGTTTTTCCTCATTTTCTTTCAAACCTGGAATGTATTACCTTTCCACTGTATTTAGCTTGTACATGTTTGGATTTCTGTGTGTGTATTTGTAAATGTTTGTTCAAATCTTTAAAGACTTTCTACTTTCTAAAGGCTACACAATTCTGAGAAGTCATATTATGTGTAATGAAGTGATATGTTTTGGTTTTGATTTAGTGTAAGTTAATATTGGGAGATATTTAATGTTCAGTTTCAGTCAAACTTGAACTAGGTGGTATTGATAAGGAATTTTGATGAGTGTTTATAATGAATGGATATGGCTGACTCTACTTTGGAATCAGAACTATAAGAGGGAAACCCGATTATTTTTATAGTAATAATAATGGAGGAGGTCCCAAAACATAATAAATTTATAAGAAAGCAGGAGTGATGTTTGAATTTTCCACTCAGTGAAACTTTTTTTTTTAAGTAAAAAGGCATTAGAGCCTAAATTCTACAACTGCCTTTATGCTCTTATAAGCAGTTTTTGCTGAAAGTTGAAGCTTGTGCTAACATCCTGCCATCTCAGCAAGTCTTGTTTGTTACCCCACTTCGGTCTCTGTGTCAGCAGAGGTTTGTAGCAGGTGTGATTCACCTCTTGATATAAACATTTATACTTCTTTGAAATTGTCCAAAACCTTTGAGTGAAATACGAAGGAACTAAACTGAATGAACAAAAGATTCCTTCTGAGACGTTAACAAAATATTTGGGTTTTGTTGGAGAAACAAAGGAAGTGATTTAGAGGGAAATCTGTTTGCGTTTTCGGGTTTGTTGGGGTTTTAAAGTGTTTCTGCTGCCACTGTTTGGAGGGAAATAGTTCTTGGTTTAAAGTGTTCATTTGTTCCTTTCGCTGTTTCCATCTCCTTCCTGACTTGAAAGAGTGGGCATGAGAAGGCTAGATGAATTTCTAAAACAAGCTTTTCTCACATCACAATTAAAGAAAACTACAGAATTTAAGGGAAGTCAGTCGGAAGGTGTTTGACATAGTAGAATCCACGACTTTTATTTAAGACTGTAACTCCAAAATACTAAGAGTAATTAGTTTAATTTAAATGAAAACAGAGTACTATCGAATACTCAGTGAGGTAAATTAATTTTATCTACCTGGAGTACAAATCATTCGTATTAAGGTACTTCCATACACAGATGCAAACTTCCAACTTTAGGTTGCCGTATTGAATAGTTCTGTTGTTCACACTCATTCATCATGAAGGCCCTTCCTTTTCCTTTTTTTAAAGTTTAAGTTCAACATAAGTACTGGAAAATAAAGCAGGTAGAATGTGAAATTTGCAGCCTTTTAGTGAAATATAATAGATAACTTCATAGCCTGTAACTAGTTTTAATTTACAAAGTTGTATTATTATTTTACTAATCATAGTTTAATTTCTTTCCCAAAGGACTTTAAGAAACAGCATGCAAAATGTAAAGTTTTAGTTTTGCACTAACTGAAAGCAAAATGTATTAAATTGATGGAAAAAAATTTTAATTATCGTGTTTTTGTTTGTTTCTTTAAATAAGGTACCAGTATTTTTTACAAATTAAACAGGACATTCTTACGGGAAGGTAAGACATTTGTTGTCTTAAACATTAAATGCAACTTTGGTTGAGAAAATGTTAATGATGGGGGATTTTACCTGTAAAAGTAAAAGGATCTTTAAAATAAATTACTGTTTATGCAAGTAGAAGTGTTTATAATAGTTATCTGTCCCATTTGTTCATTGACTATGAAAGATTAGGATTCTCAAAATAATCAGTTTCATATGAAATGTGTAATTTTATTTATTTTTCATCTTAAAAACAAACCAGATTGCCCTGTCCTTATAATACTGCTGCTCTTCTGGCTTCCTATGCTGTTCAATGTAAGTATAATAGTATTCATGTACTTACTAGTACTGAAATATATAAGAAGTAGTGTTGATTAATTTATAAAGCGTGTAGTTTGTATAGCGTTGTATTGTGATATTTGTGGATATGATGGTACTTTTCTCATGACTAAGGAAATACGGTTGGTTGTTTTTTCTCCCCCAGAATGTTTTGCTGAATTAGATATGGAAAAAATACTGATAATGCTCCCTGCTTTCCTTCTTTTAAACCTATGCAGTTAAAAAACCCCAAAACAACCTTCTTGTATTTCTTTGTGTTCTGGAGTAAGAGGTTGGGGTTTTTTCTTGAGAATGATACTAAAGTATTTTTTTAGACACTTACCCATTTTTGACATACCATACAATGAACCTCAAAATAGGTGTGGAAAAGGGAATTCTGGTCATATACGGCTAAAAAGTCCAATAGCCGTATTGTCAATTTTAAGCCATCCAGTGAGCAGCTAAGTCTTGAAGACTGGGATTTAGTCCTCTTCCTCTCTCCTCGTTTTCCTTCATAAACTTAAACTGTTCAGTGGGAAAAAAAAAACAACTCACAACAACCAATCAAGAAACTGTTCATCATTTAGTTCTTGAAATTCATGGTGGTTTTATAAGCAATCCTGATATGTTCATCTATATTCATGTGATTTTTCTGCTGTTAGAGATACTTATATCTACATTTAGTACTATGTATACTTTGAACGTATCAGAGAAATATTGTCCATGTTAGTCTTTTCAGGGAAAAAACGTAATGTTAATGTAATGTTTTATGCATAGTTTTGAGAAGTGGTCACATTTTTCCGGATCAGTCAATAGAGCAATGTCTGTTAAACAAAAGTCCCAAACTCCAGCTACTTGGAACCAGATACATACTGTAGCGCTGTCATGCTGTAGGGATTTGCCTCAGATGAGGTGATTTGATAATGGAACAGGCGTTATGAGCAGTTGATAACATTTGGAGCTTTTAAGGATGCGATAGGTTTATTTTTCAAAGGTATGGGTATGTACATGTTGTAGTTACGTTTGTATATGAGGTCCCGCTGCCCTTAAGTTCTTCAGTGAGCAGACCTCTGTCTAATGATTTTCTCTGCATGCCTATTACTAAGCTCTTTCTCTGTTTAGTTCTTGGGATTCTTTATAAATATAAGTAAATAGCAGACATAGATCTCAGACAGTCTTGTATTCTCTGTAGCAGATTTTAGCAAAGCATACTCTCTGAAATAAAACCTGGTCCCATTTTCCATTTTTAAAATTATTTTAAATAGGATCTGTTTCTGGTGATGCAAGTGCCCTCAGACTTCTTTCCTACTTTCCCTTCTCGTGCTTATCCTCCTGCTCTGAGTGCCTTCATCCCTCTTGTCAGTTCCTCCATGCCCCGTAAAAGTGTCGGTAGGGCTGCCCAGGACCCCATGTTGTGCTGTGTTGCTGTGAGCTTTCCGATTTTCACATGTTGTGTTACTTACCTGTCACTGTAGATCTGTTACATGGATTGCAGATATTCAAAGCTGAATTGTTTGGGTTTATAGTTAGAAAGCCTTAAAGCCTGTATTTTTAGCAAATGTTGTTTGTGTGGTTTTTATTCTGACAGTACATGTGATTTTAATTCTTATAATTTTAAGAAAGTGTTATAAATTATGTAAATGTACTTTTTAGTAGTTTCAAGTAAAGTAGTTTCAATGTAGGTGTATGTATGTGTACTTTTTTCCGTACATACCGTTGAATGTGCAAAAAAATATTTTTCTAATGCTTCTGGATATGTTTTGGTACAGAATGAGTTGGTGTGTTTTGCAGATCTTAATGAAGAAATAGCAATTGTAGTGTTAAAAATATATACATTGTGTAGTCATGTGAAAGCAAGCAAAGATAAAATAAAAAGAAAAAACAAATACTTTGAAGCATATTACTTAGTGCTAGCCATTATGACAGCATTTATGAATTAATTTGTGTATTAAAAATTAAACTCTTTATTATAAACTTCCTTCATAAGTACCTACTCAAAGCTCTCTTTAAATGGTCTCCATGGTATTCACTGAGAACGTGACTGTTTATTCAAAAGGGAAAAGGGGAGTTCAAATGTCTTCTGTATTTTTGTTTGCTGTAGATAATAAAGTACATGGGAGCAGACTCTTGTGAATTTGGGGGCATTGCACAATGCCAAGTACACCAGTGATAAACAATAACCTCTCTTTTTAATATTTTAGCCGAGCTGGGAGACTACAACCATTCAGAAAACTTGCCAGGCTACCTCTCAGACTATTCTTTCATCCCTAGCCAGCCTCAAGACTTTGAAAAAGAAATAGCAAAATTACATCAGCAGCACATGTAAGGATTTACAGCAGAAGATAGTGACTGACTTTGTCAAATCCTGACTGCTGGTGCTGTGCTATTATATAAAAAATGAGTATTTTGTCTTAAACGTTTCTGGGTTTTTTTTGGTTTTGTTGGTTTTTGGGGTTTTTTGTTAAGAGTACATTTAATGTGATTTTTTTGTAGATTGTCTGTATAATAAGTACCATTGATACTCTGCACAGATAGACTATCGATGACAGAATGATAGGGGAAAATAACTGAAAAATTAACGTGTTAAGGTACACTGGAAACATTTGTGTGTATTACATAGGATATTGATTTAGCAGGATATAATTTCTTTAAGGGTTTTTTTCGGTCTAAGAGAATGCTTTCTGCAGAAAGGCTTTGTTTTCATGGTGCTCTCACCAGTAAACAAGAGTTGCTTTAGAAGTAACAAAGTCCTTTTCTTTAGTATCTGCTCTTTCCTGTGTGCAAGTCTGACCTTTTACTAAAGAGGAAAAGGCAATGAAGCAATGGAAAATTTTTTTTTTTTTTCCAATGTTTAATATTGTGGTACTTTTTCAGTGATGGTTCCTTGGTATTTTGGAACTTAAGCGCTTTTTGTTAGAGTTAAATTTAATAAAATGTAAGCTATGTTTATAAAAAATTTGCTTAATTAACGTGTTGTTGGCTTTGGAAACTGCTGAATGTTATGTTACATTTCAGTCAACGGCTTAGCAAATTCTGTTAGGTGGGGTGAAGAAATTAAAGTGAGTTGATGGTAATTTAAACTTTAAGGGTGAGCCTTGGAAAGAAATTACTGTTATCAATACAAAATTCAGGACTGCAAAAGTAATTTTCAGATTCTAGAGCGCCACATACATTTAAATGATACAGTGCATTAGAAATAAAACGTGTGCATTTGCAAGCTGTGTTGCAGCCTTCTGTCAAGACTTTGTCTATGTGGAAGCACAAGGTTTTATTCCGTTGAAAATGGTGGGTTACAGTCTGTTTATGGTCAGAAAGGAAATTGAGATTTCAGGGTGGGTGTAGAAGTAGTAAAATGAATGCAGATCAGGGAGCCTGATGTGAGGGGTTATGTTAGAATGTTTCTGATTTAGCTTCTTTCTTTCAGAGGGTTGTCTCCTGCAGAAGCAGAGTTCAATTATCTCAATACAGCACGTACCTTAGAACTTTATGGAGTCGAATTGCACTATGCAAGGGTAAGTTTGGATGAACTAGTATTGTGATATAAAAATGGATTCCTCTGAGATGTATGGAAAAATAAATATTTCTTTTTAGTGAGCCTTCCTGGCTGCTGCTTACAAGAGAAAAAAATGAAAATAATATTATTAGGTGCCTAACTGCAATTTACCAATTTCAATAGCCACTATTTCACTCTAGTGAGGGTATTTCTTTGCTTAGCTTTGGGCTTAGTTATACATGTGTTATTCAGGTTGAGCCTTGTTGGCCTGAATGCCAGTTCAGTTGGCTACTGGTAAATAAGGAAAATGTACTTGTTGAATGTACTTTTGATATTTAAGGAACTGTCAGCTTTGAAAAAATATTTCGTTTGGTTCAGATTAGAACCAAATTAGAAATCATTATATAATATGAACTGTTAGTGTAAGGTGGGTGTACTATAACTTGGAATAGTGTCAGTTTTCTCCGGTAAAGCAAGTAGCTTGAGATCTTGACTCAAACAATCTTAGCCTGTCAGTACAGTGCTACCAGTTCTGCAAAGCCTCTGAATATAATTATTTTTAGTAACTAAGTTACCTCTGGTTGTTAAATATTCTTGTCGTACTCCCTAAGGTTAGAGAAACTTGCAGTAGAATTTGAAATGTACTCAACTTCACTGCTGTCCGTATCCTGCTGTTGTTGAACACATACTGAGAGATCTATAGCAGGTGTTTGCTTAGAGTACAGAGATATTTCAGGAAAAATGTGCTGTTTAAATATGCTTACAATATTGTTTGTTTTAGAATCTCTCTGTGTTCTGAGATTGCAATTTCTTTTCACGTAGGAATTTAAGTTGCTGGTTGCTTTTAGGGTAGCAAATGCCAAGCCAGTCTGTTGGTGCTGTTATTCATAATAAACTGCTCGAATAATGTATATTGTGTGTTTCTTCAGAGTTGGTGGAAGACAGAAGATCTAACTTAAGAAATGAAAATTCTGTGGTATCTTATAAAGAACTCAGAGCAAACATTTGGGCTTGTCCTAAATAGGAATATATAATTTAATTCTTACTTGTCTTATTAAAACACATTTCCTTCCATGTTAATTGAGATCTGTTTTCCTGTGGTATTTGTATATTTAGGGACAGAGAGATTGAAACCTCATATATATTCTATTGTTCTTCAAGTAATTTTCTCTTTTCTTTTAAAGGATCAGAGTAACAATGAAATAATGATTGGAGTCATGTCAGGTGGAATACTAATTTTTAAGAACAGAGTGCGAATTAACACCTTTCAGTGGTAAGGACAGCTGTTTAAGCTAATGTTTTTGTTTGGTATTTCAAAATATGTTTTTACCACTACCAGTGTCACATGCTTTAAAGAAAGACTGAAACTTAGTTGTAGCATATAAGTTGAAATTATTTACCTCATGCTGTGCTATGGTTCATTTTATGATGGGGTTTTGTCCTATTCTGCTTGCTGTGATGATAAATGATTCTGATGTAAACTGTAATGTGTTTTAACAATTTTTTTCTTCAGGACTTCAGGAGTTTGTAAGCATTCTTTATGTTTACTTAACTATATAGCCAGGGCCAGTGTTATGGTCTAGCTCACAGTCTTTAAAGAGACAGCTGAACTTAAAAATATTAATCTGGAGAGTGATTGCTCTTGCTTGTTTTGTCACATGTAACTTAATTGAGCTCTGTGTGTTTAATGTGGGTATGGCACTGAAGGATAACTGAGGTGGAACATTTAAGATATTGGCATCTCTTCATCCATAGATAACCATTTTCCTAAGGACCAAAAAAGTGCATTTATTGCAGAAAATGTTGTCATTTATTTCTCCTCTTAACTAAAATAGTTTTTAAAGCTGTTCTGTAAACATGGAATTATCCTCATTAAATATGTTACTGTAGTTATCAGTCTTCATAAGTTGTGATCCTGTTCTTACTCATACAAGAAGGGGAGAGATCTAAGAAATCCTGTTCTGCATTGTAACTTCTGAGTGCTGTATAGAAGTGCTCTATAACTTCTCTAGTGCTCTACAGAAGTTATGTCGCCTTCCCTAATGCTTTTTTTAGTTCCCTCAAAAGAAACCTTCCCTTGCCTGCTTGGCATATGCTTGGACAGCCTTACTTATTACATATGTTTTTGAGTATGCCATAACAGCATTCTGAGTGGGTGAAGTCAGCTGAATAAAATTATCATAACAGACATTAGCTTACCAGGCACAAAAGCTGTTTGCTCTAGAAAAATTATGAAAAGTGTTGCGTCTTCATTTGCTGCTGATGTTTGTGCTTGGGCAATGCAGCACTGGACTCTTCTAAAGTTCTTGGCTGGTCTGTCATCTTCATATAAACAGATTAGATAGATTACCACAATTGAAACTAGAAAAACTTGTCTCTGAATTCAAACTGATATGAGCAGTTGAAATCCTTGGGGTTTTGTTGTTTTCTGTTAGCACAGGGTAACAAGATCTAGTGATCCTGAACCCTTTGCAGAGAATCAAGATGTTAATCACAGTCTTGATCTTTCCTGCAACCCAATGAATTTCTGAGACATTCTGATGCTTAGTCTGTAGTTTTCTTGTAGGATGTTACATATTCTGTGGCATATCATGTCGAGAAACACTGAATGGCCAAATTTTAGTAGATTTTCAGAGAGGAAGGAAAAACAAAGCTGTAACATAAGTGTTACCTACAGCCAAATACAATTGAATGTGCTAAACGCTTTGCCTGTAAACATTCAAAGAAAAGTAAGCATGAGGCATTTATGGATCATGTAAATTTTCAGTCTCCATGGTTATTTGCGTAAATTAAAACTGGGTCTTGCAATGATAGGTCTATGGAACTACTGTACTAGTCAGTCAGACCTGCCTTTATAGTAGTGGCACGTTCAAAGAAAGGTATCCTTCATCTTTTAAGAGTTATGAAGTATTAAGAGCCATTTCTGGGTTAAGGCTGCTTTATAAATGCAATGCTGTCGTAATCAGGAAGATTTTAATTCAGGCTGCTTTTACTTTTGGGAAAACAGTAATATTAGAAATAGGTTCTATAAAACACACCAGTAAATTACTGAGTACGTACAATGTACAATGTAAGTCATAATTAAGCTACATGTCCCCACTGGAAGCTAGAGGTTTCAGTGAGCTCTGCTTCATATTGTTTGCATGCCAGGGATGCTGATCTAAATTCTTAGTGTGGTTTTTGTGTGTGTGTAATTACCTAAACAGTTCTTCTTTGTATTCAACCATATCAGCTGACATCAGGGATATTAATTTTTTCCTGTGAAGACTATACTACCAACATAGTTGGTCTGTACAAAAAAAAAAAGGACACGCCCCCCCATTTTGTCCTATTGTAGGCTTTCTTTTGCTGTAAGGATCTGAGATGTCCGTTCTCACAATATAGCTCAGTAGTAGACCCTATTACCTTTGCTTTTTATCGATAGTCACGCAGCTGTTCTGGTGACACCAGTACTGATACTTTTTCTTCTTGATCCTGTGCAACTGGAGCTGAGTAATGTCTTCCCAGTGCTTTATGGCTACAGTGAATGTTTAGATATCCCTTTTTCGATACTCCTGAACTGAGTTTTGAGATAAATGAGAGGACAGACATGCATGTATGTGGGAAGAAATAAAGGTTTAACTGTATTGCTCAGAGAAGAATCAAGTAAAATGGCTTTGTCCTCTGCCTCTTAGTTTGATATTATATCTAAATTGCATATTATGAACCTTATGATCATGGGGAGAAATGAAACAGGAGGGAGACAAGGCAGGAATAAGGCAAAACAAAGGAGACTGCCTTTTATCCAGTGTGTCCTAACTTGATCTTCCTGTACTGTAGGTAATTCTCTTCTCCACAAACTGTGCTACCAGGCACAAAGACCTGGGAATCCAGGGATTCCCTTGCCTTTGAAGACCAAAGGAGAAGAGCATGAAGTACCTCAGGCTTTCCTTTGTTACTAGATCACCTGTTTAGCCGTGGAGACACGCTTTCCTTTGCCTCTCTTTTGCAGTCGATGTACCCCTGGAAAGCTTTGTTGCCTTTTGCATCCATTGCCAGTTGTAACTGCAGTTGTGCTTTGGATTTCCTAGTTTTATCCCTGAATGCTTAGGCAGTACTTCTGTGTTCCTTCTTGGTCATCTGATCCTGCTTTCACAACCTGTACACTTCCTTTTGTGTTTGAGCTCAGTCAGCAGTTCTGAGTTCATCCAAGTTGTCCTCTTTCCATGCTTGCATGTTTTCTAGCACATCAGGATTGTTCTGGATTGAGAAGATTGTCCTTTAAGATTGGCCCCCTCTCCTCAGCTCCTGTGCCCCAAAGGGCACCTTCCAAGGGGTTTTGCCTACCAGAGCTCTGAGCAAGCTGGAGTTTCTTCTCCTGAACTCCAGGGTGGCTTAGTCTGGTGCATCCCTCCTCACTTCCCTCAGGATCTTTAGCTTCACCATCTCACAGCTGCTGGAGCCAAGTTTGTATTTGACTACTAAATCTGGACGGCCTTCCGTTGTTCGTGGTTGGAGTTGTGCTACTCTTGCTGACCAGTCCAGGACCTGTGTCAAAGAAGTCTTGGTTGAGAAATTTGCTGGCTTGCTTCTGTCCTGGCTTATCATCCTCCTAGCAAGGGTTGGTATGGTGCAGTCCTTAGTGAGAACCAGGGCTTGATATCATGAGGCTCATTCCACATGTTTGAGTACAGTCCTAACTTTAGACTAGGACCTTTAAATATCTCTTAATTTAAAAAGATGTATCTTGTGATTTAGAATGTCTGAGATGACTGGAGATTGGAAAATCATACCAGGAAAATGTTATTGGTGCCTGCCTGTTCTTAACCTTTTCCTTGGATATGCACCATTGCTGTCAGTCAGAGAAAGGAAACACAGACAGACGTGCTTTTTGCTTTGGCCAAGTATGGATATTACAATTTAATAACTAGCAGGGTATTAGCAGTGCATTTGAACTCTCTCTTAGCTGCTGTATTTTTCAAAAATAGCTGAGATTCGCTTTGGTGAGTAGTTTCTTTGTACTTGAGTGGTGACTCTTCACGGGTTGAATTAGACCTTATTGGCTAATGTTACAGTTTTGAGTCTGTTCCAAATGGTTTCAGGCTTAAAAGGCAGCTGACCTCACTCTGCCTAAATTATAGGGTGAGATTAAAAACCAGTGTGTAAAGCTTTCCTCCTTATCGTTCTCCTTGAGTCTGTGAATCACGAAAGGCAATAATTTCTTCAGCAGAAGAAGGGGGGGAAGTATAAGATAAGAGAATGTTTTTGTAAATGGAATAGGTTTTATTTTCAGATTTTATGTTGGCATGCTAAGCAAATCTGCTATGTTGTAGAGTGTGTCCAGTTCAGTTTTTAGAAAAGGTCTGTATTAAAATGTTCTTTTAATTGCCCAGTACACCAAAATTTTAGAGAATTAATCATAACATTTCTGGTTAACTGCAGTCTAAATAGTCTAATGTAACTTTTTTTCTCTTTTCTGCAGTCAGACTGCTCTAATCACTAGTGTCTATCCTGTCCAGCAAGTTTAGGACCATCCCTAATTATTATTAAGCAGTTGTTTGTCACAGGATGTGCTAAGAAAATTACTGTGTTGCCAATGGAATTTGATTTCCGTAGATAACTGTAAAGAGGGCTACAACTTTCTAATCCTTGAGAAAGTAACTTCAATAGCAACGATT